CTAGCATGCTTTTTTATCTCTAGCTGACCTCTAAGCATATGACTGCCTATGCTACCTTTAATGATTATCACTGAACAACAGTGGCCAGGTTCATGGTTCAGAGGCTAATACCCAAATGGCAAATGTCTCCTGTTATTCAACCTAAACTTATTTTCAGGAATAAGCAGAAGAGCAAGCCATCATCCCCCTAGCTACATCACCTTCTATGAACTGTGTCACTTGTTTGTCCCATTGTGGCTGTAGCTCCGCCCCACCAGCTACCAGTGTACCTTCACCTACCCATTAACTCTTAGAAAGCCAGAAGTCAAGTGAGGCTACTCAAATCAGCTTGTTATCCACTTCTAGAGCTTTCATTTTTCATCAGTCACTACTTTTTCTCCTTTTGTGAATTTCTAAAAAGGTACTCCACCTTTTCCTATGTCTTTTTTAACTAGTATTTACAGAAGTGGAAGGGATTTTGGTCATGGGCTCCAAAGCACACTACTATTATTTTTCTTGCTTATGCCTTGCCACATCTGTGAATTTGTGTTACTGCTAAATATCAGCCTCACTAAAGTGGGAGCTCCATGAGGCTGGACACCAAGGCTGCTCATTCGTGAGCACACTCCCAGTACCTGGCACAGTATCAGGCCAACAGATAGCGGCAGACTCATTTGAGCCAGAGAACTAACAAAGGTCTTTTGACATCATTGCCCAGCACTCTTTGGAAACATGAAAAACTTTGTAAAGGCCATACCTGGGCAGGACCTGTCCAAGACTGTGTAAGATGTTAAGGACAAAGCTGAGATTACTTTGAATCCTTTATTTCCCACACACATGCTCCATCTGGCCCACCCAGAGGCTACACTACTGGGGAGAACAGCACTGAAAACATTGATCTAAACATCTCTGGGTTGGTTGCCTGATACCCCTTGTTATTTATCAGGGGGATCATGGAATCTCTTCCATATTCTTGGTGTTCACACACTTTATGTAAAACTCTAAGAACAGAACCCAAGACAAAGTTTTACAGCCATTGCAAAGAGCCAGCCGATTCTCTCCTATGAAGGTAAAATTTTACGAGGTCAAATAACCAATATCAGCTATTTATCCATAGCTCAGTGACTGTTCAATACAATATCCTTTTTGATGATATATAAAGGCTTTTGTAGGATATTATTTAGAGTTTCTTTTAAAGCAAATAGAGTTCTCTTTTAAAATAGAGTTCCTCTTGAGCTCAGAAAAAAAAAAAAGAAATGTGGATTATCAAGGGGGACACAATGATTGAAACTAGACTGTAGTGACAGGTGCCCAATAATAAATTTACTATTAATGTTAAGATCAGTAATTATAAATTGTAGTCCAATGAATCATTTTGGAAGTCTGAAAATGATTCAGATAATTAATCTACTTTTTGTAAATTACAAAGTATTTATGAAATTTAAGTTGGCATTAAATTTTTTTTTAAAAAACCTTTTACTATTCATGCTTTTTTCTTTTCTTTTGGCAATACCAGGGATTGGACACAAGGTCTGCACAGGCCAGGCAAATACTCTACCACTGAGCTACATCCCCATCACTTTTCCTTCTACTTTGAGACAGGGTCTTACCAAGCTGCCAAGGCTAACTCCAAATTTGCAGTCTTCTTGCCTCATTTCTCAAGCCTCAGAAGCATGGGTGTGCAGCGTCACCACACCATGCCTTCCTCCTCCTCCCATGCTTCACTCAAAGTGTCAAAAGTGCTCCCTGTAATTTTTGTAAAAATAACTTTGGGTACGAATATAAATATCTATAAAGCACCAACCTTCATATAGCAGTAAAAGACTAATGAGTATGATTATCCATATGAATGATCTATGGGTATATTTACTTCATTAAGCTTAGTATTTTATCAAAGACCTACCATTCATAGGGCATTGTGTTCTGAGCAAGTTACACATTAATCTCCTGGCCTTAGTTTCGCCATCTATAGAGTCAAGGAGCACCTAAGAAAAAGCATACCACTTAGTACTTAATGCATACTAATGTGCCAGGCCTTTTACATTATCACCCTATGGAAAAGATATTATTAGCAGGTTAGGCAGGTTGGGGGAATTGGGCCAGAAAGAAGTTTGCTAATTTTACTAAGGTTACACAGTTATTTTTAGTAGCAAATTCATGATTCCAATCCAGAATTATCCAGCTCCAAAATCAACATTCTCCAATCCTCCATAGACTCTGGTCTTTTGATTTCTTCAGGGGCAGCATGAGTCCTGACCTTTAGTATATTAGTCACCTGGAGTCCCAGATTCCTCATCTATAAAAGGAGATTATTAGTACTTAACTCCCTAGGTAGTTTTATGAAAATTTAAGAGTGGATCTGCTACAATTACGAGGCTTGCAGTGAAGACTTTATCATCCGTCTCCCGCAGAAGTTCCTTCCTGTGTATATATTGCAAAAATCTATAAATTTTATAATTTCCTTGTAACCTACCTGGATAAGCCTCTTTGGGACAGAGATCTAGCAAAAGTGATTACAGTGAACCCAAACAACGCGGCTTTACTTCTCAGCTATCAAGTCCTTGGCTCTGTGGCAGTGACTGTCAACAAGAGTGTCAACTTCAAGGGGTGGGCATCTGTCCACAGGAACTGAGCTGTGGTCACAGACTTGCCTCACTCTGCCCCACCAACAGATGTCTGGGTGACAACTCTTAGTCACTGCAAGCCAAGGGTAGAGCCAACCCTGGTGGGAAGTGCTATATCTCCTCTCTAATCCTCTTGGCCCGCCTGTTCATTCCCTACAACAATACCTCACTAACCACACTTCAAAATTCCTTGTTTTCTCCAGGACACTACTATCAACAGAACACCTCTATTCTGATGTGTCTGGTGAGTCCACAAGCAGAAAGGAGTGTGTCTATAAGCATCGTCTACCATCGAGAAGCCTGTTTGCTTCTGTGTCTTAGAAGGCACGCCCTCAAAGGTTACCTTGCACGTAGCCAGGTAAAAACTGATGTGACGTGGCGCTCTAGTGGTGGCAAGAAAGTAAAGCAGTTGTTACACAAGAAAAAAAAAGCCAAGAAAAAACACCATTTATTATTAATTATCAAGTTCAAATGAATAATAGTTCCAAATAATCATCTTTGGTAAACTGAATGGAATTGTTTTCTTCCAGATTACAAGTTAGACTTCAATAACCAGCCCACCTTTGACATCATGAAGCAGTAATATCTCCTCAGAAAATAGACCTCAGGGTCATGGAAGTCACTTTTCTCCTTTCTACCAAACTTGTTTAGCCTCCTATCGAACACCAGTTATGTTTCAGATAGATAGCAAAAGAACTTTATATGAAAAAAATGCTAGGCTCATGAAAAGGGAGCTATCAAATGGTTCCTCTTCTAAAGAAACTTAGGCCATAAATAAAAGTAAAATAAAGGAGATGTGGAGGAAACAAAAAAGAAGACTGGTTGGAGATGTGGGAAGGTCAAGGGATCAAAACTGATCAAGATATGCTATGTACATGTACCAGTTCCTCAACATTAAGCATAGCCGTTATGTCTTGCATACACTCATCATAATTTTTAAACGCTGGACTCCAGTGGTATGAGTGTGAAGTCTTGTACTTCCAACTCTCTGGGGAATTTAAATAAAAGGCTATCATGAGTTAACTCCTGTACTAGGAATGCCTTTCTTGAATACTCAACTTTGGATATCTTTCCAGCATAAAACAACCAAAAATGAGATCCACAATGTCAAATGTAAACATTTTATTTTCCTGTTAACTAATATGTCTTCTCAATCAAAAGAGTTCAATGAAAAACTATGATCAACAGAATATAAATAGTACTTTTTTATGCCGTACAACTTAGAGTTGTTACGGTATTTTAAATTTCTAAGCATGATTTAGGTATATGAAAACAAGTTATCATGTGAGGAAATAAAATAATAGAATACAAGAAAATAAGGAACTGGTCTTTCATATCCTGTGCCACTTTAGAATGGAAATATGCTCTAAGAATTGCGTCTTTAGATGATTTCATCACTAGACAAACACCACACCATACACATATACAAACTAAGGTAGCCTGATGTCCTGAGTCCACAACCACCATCATCCATGTAGCTTGTGAATCACTGGAACATCCTTGTGCAGCCCAGGCCTATACAAGTCCCTAAGAACCATATCCTTGACCATTAAAGAAAATGTAAGAGACTCAGTCTCTATACATAATGACAAAAGAAACTAAAGTGTTCATAAATGCATTAACATTATTTATCTGAAACACCTCAAGAGCCATCGGGTTTATGGCTTAGATCACAGAATCTATCTCCAGGTGATTATCAAGCCTCAGAGAACTGTGAACGAAGATTTAGCGATTCTGGGGAAAGGGATGTGATTCACAGTTTTCTCTTCTCTGTCCTGCTATTATGCTATCATTAATATAGTTCTCTTAAACCACCCAGAAAAAAAAATGGTAAAAGTATGAGCCTTTTCTGAGAAATCATTAAGGAGAGTTTGTAACATAAAGCTCAAGATACAGAACTAATGTCCTTTTAGTCTTCATCTTTCACTATGGAATAGTAAAGAGAATTTTTTTGATAGAGTGGACGATAAAGCACAGCAGTTAGGTGTTTTCTAACATAATCATGTACCACAGGATAAACAGAAACATGCATTAGTGCAACATTACCAGAATCTAACAATTCTACAGTCCTTTTCACCAGACATTAATTTCATTAAATTGAAGAATATTCACAGTCTGTGAATCTAAGCCTTTGTCTTTGTACATCATCTTGCCCCTATTTTCCATGGTAATTCTCTCCATCTCTTTTGCTTTCCCTACCAGACCTTGGTATGCTGCTTACAATAATATCTGAGGCTTTATTTGCCATCCCTTTGACTGAGACATGTTGATTTTATTAAAGCAAGTTGGGTCTGTGTTCTTTCTTTACTGCTATTACAGGTAGACTTGACAGACACAGGACTTTTGATTTCAAATGCACTGCTATGGAAGAGACCTTGTTAATAAGTTCCATTTTACCTGCTGGGCAGTTACACTCTGAAGGTGCTTCTCTTGCGATTCTTATTTTAGCCATATGTTCATAGGATTTCTGTAGGAAGAAAAGAGGCATAAACAGTCATCAGTAGCACAGTAGAGGAATGAATTCCTTGGGGACTCTGGCCACATGCCTGATTCACCAGCATTTCAGAGCTTGCATGACTAACATTTACATATGTACTTGGACCTTAGTCAAAAGGTAACTGTACCCAAGCCCTAAAAAAAGAAAATGACCAGTGATAGGGTAGCAAGATTGCTGGATTTGTCTGCCATCTTTCTCCATTCAGCCCCACTACCCTCTCCCTTGGCTGGCCTACACATAAGCAGTCAATGCCAAAACCTGGCACTAATTTGTGCACTTCTAGGTAAACTGAGACCCAGCAACAACAGCCACTCTTTTGTATATATTGTGCCGCTGCTACTGCCAAACAGCCTCTGTTGAAAAACAAGTTTCAACATTCCCCAACTCTCCCCTAAAGCCACCCTTAAACATCATGCAGATTCCTTTCAATTCTCACCTCCAACAGCTCTGCGTTCACAAGTACCCAGCGTTGCACCAAAAATAAAGCTACTTTGTAAAATTTTTAAACTTTTAGTATGAAAAGGCTCAATGGGTGAAAATGTGGATTTTAAATCACATATAGGATTACTTCACTCTTAAGAGCAATTGCCTTTTGTGCATTAATAACACCTTTAACTCAAACCTCCATATAAGACGTGAAGCATTTAACAGATGCTATCTCTGCAAGGAATATTGTCCATACAACTGAGAAAGAGTCACATGAGACTCCAGAAAACTAGAGACAGAATGCCCCCTGCCATCCTGGCCACTTTTCCTCCCCTTCACCCTTCCATGTACGTTTAGCAGACAAACGTTAAGTTGGAGCGGGGACGATGACAGACTTAGTGGTGTCAAGAGACATGCATTTGTACAAACACCCACCACACACGCCTGACACAGCTGCACACAGGCAAACCAGGTGTGCACACATAGGAGCTCTCAGGCTGCTCCTGCATCCAGACTCCTGCGGAACATGTTACCCACGTGCAAAATACCCCAGTCTCGCACACCTGAGCCAGAAGGCGCTCCACTTTCTCCTGCACTATAGCCTTCAGCTGATCCAGGGTGTCGGGCAGCAGATGGATGGAGGGTGCACCTTTGGCGGATTCCAACGCGGCGACCCTCGCCTGGAGGTCACAGGTTTTCACCCCGAGGTACAAACAAGAAGTCAGAGCAACCACGGACAGGAGGGCAGCGAGGGCGGCGCACGGGGGCGCGGCGCGGGTGCAAAGCCGGGCTGGGGGCTCTGCTGACCCTGGCTCCCGCGCCGCGCCCTTTCCTGCGGGTTTTTTCGGCAGCATCGCGGCGGGGGTGGCGGGCTGGGCTGCGCCTTCCCCCTCGGACTCCCGCGGGGATCTCAAGAGTAGCGCAAGGACGATTTCTGCGAAGTTCGTTCCTGCGACTGCAGGCGCTGCGGCGGACCGACGCGGGCTCAGAGTGGGGACCGGCGTACGAGGAGCATCCTGCGGCGCGGGACGAAGGGACACACGCGCGCCGCCCACCTGGCGGGCCGGGACACCCGGACCTGTTGCTTCGCTTACTTCGCTTATCTCTGTTGGCCGAGATTTGTCCACGCGAGACCTGTGTCCCACCTGGATGCAGGTCCCAGGGAGCGCAGCCCACGAGGAATGGCTAAGGGCACTGGTAGAACCAGGATGGCCCAGGAGTGAACGCAAGGACCGAGGCTGCCCGAAGCGTCTCTAGCTCTTCGCGCTAGTGAGTCTTAAATACCCTCCGGGATCCTGGAGCGTGAGTGCGCGAGGACGCCCCGCCCAGGCCCCGCCCCGCCAATGGCCTGATTAGCATAATATATTCACCTTCGCCCCACCCTCCCTGGATCCCGAGGGGCGGGAGCGGCGCGGGAGGTCCGTTATTAACATAATATATGCAAATACTGTAGCCGGAATAGCGGTCCTGATTGGACAGGAGCTCGGCGCCCCTCCCCCAACACACCGAATAACTTCAGCGTCCGGGATCGCCAGAGCTGGGGGGCCGTAGTGGGGTACGCGGAGCAGGACTGTCCGGCCCAGCCCAGCTGGAAGCCCCCACCGCTGCATCCAGCAGTGCAGTCAATCGCCCCGGCCCTTCGGCCTCTAATAACGCAGTCCCGGGACCCTCCTCCCTTGGTCAGACCTTGCGCGGCCGCCCCCGCCCAGCCGTGTGCTCCGGGTCCGGATGAGGGTGCTAATGCATTTTCCTGACTCCCTGCTTTGTAGGCTTGAAAAAAGGAGTGTTGGGGCACTCGCATTTCTCCGGAATTAGAAAAGGACTGAAGAATGAGGTCAATTTTTCCCTTTCTCTGTCTCTCCTGTGCGATTCCCTCTGGGTCAAGTTACAGAGTCTCCAGAGGAATTTTTCCAAGATGCCAATAAGTAGCATTTTGCATCTATTTGACGGTGGGGGAACACGTAATGTCAGAGAGGACTCCATTAAGCTCAGACGGACGGCTTCCTCCTAAGAGATAGCACTTATTCTCCTGCCCCTTAAGCTAACCTTAAGTCCTTGCTCCTCATTTTAAGCAATCTACAAAATCCTGCACCGAGCTGATCCTCCACACAGTGTAAAGATACAGAACTGCTGGGTACAAGAGTGAGGGGATTCCAGCAATATCCTGAAGGGAAAAAACAGACACCACGCGGTGGGGAGACTGAATTTTGCTAATTTCAAAGCCATACTTGCTTACATTTGTATTACATAGCGGTTCATAAAGACCCAGAACATCAGTCACCTGCACACATTGAGATCCGGAGGACCCCAGCCCGGGTCTCTTAGTCCAAAGCTGCTAGGACCAGAGCGCGGCACGCTAAGGGAGCCCTCCCAGTGACTTCACTGCAAGTTGAGAGCCCACTGGTATAACACTTTACAAAATACTTCCGTGCCTTCTTAAATTTGAACCTCACAACCCTGTGAACCAAATGAGTCACTGTGCCTGTTTTATATATAAACAAGTCACATTTTATCACAAATAAATATATTTCCACGTGCAGAACCCGGAACCCTGGGCAACCCGTGCCAGCCACAGAAACCCAGCTTGGTGTCACACTCCTGTAATCCCAGCGCTGGGGAGACTGAGACAGGACAATCACTACGAGTCTAAGGTGCATAGCAAGACCCTGTATCAAATAAATAAAAGATTTAAAAAATTAATGTAGTTCCAATTATGGGACCCAAGCAATGACCATAGATTTATCTGTGTCTGTGTGTGTTGATTTAATCCAGGACTTCATTCCTGCTTTGTCACTGAGCTATACCCCCAGCCTGCTGCAAATGTTTTAATATGTCATCTATTTCTGATTTTCCAGCCTCCTCTCTAACCTTTTCCTGCAAAGCTTTTTCTCTGCCTGCCCTCTGAAATCTCTTGGGCCCTGTCGGCATCTCCTGCCCTCCTCTCTACCACACAGCCTCGCCATCCCAATGCCCCATTGGCATCTTTACACTGAGGAGCACACTCCAAACCTCTGAGGCCTAGCCCTACAGAGTCACCTGCCTGTGAGCCCCACCACTCTCATGTCCCACTCAAAACTGCAGCTTAATCTACATCTACAATCTACACCTCCAAATTCTGCTGTTTTTTCCTGTTTCCCATCTCAGCATGGAGCTGCCATCCATCTAGGATCTCTAAGCCATGAAAAACCACAGGTAGGTCCTACCTCCTCCCCTGCCCACCTCTTCTTCACTCCCTGAGTTCCTTTGATAGGTCCCATTGCTGTTAGGATAAAAGCCACACAGCTTGCAAGCCCCTCACCTCTGCCACTTGGTGCGTGGCTCCTGTACATTCTCCCCCCTTCCTCCCCAGCTTCTATGAAGCACAGAGACAATGAAGAACATTTACTTTGCACAAAGCACCACTCTTACAATTTCAGTAGAAAAGCCCTTTTCTACCCTGACAGTGCTGACAGCAGATTACATATTTAGCTTTCAGGGTGATGCTCATAGCATGCTTGGTGGAAACTGGCTACGAGAAAGTACATTACTAACTCATGTGTGTGCTTAGAGCGATCAGATCTTAGTAGAGAGATAGAGTTGGAATTTGTGGATTTGAGACTTTTATCCAGAGGATTAGATTTGCTTTATGTCTTTGGTGGGCACAATACCTCAGAAATGTACCAGCCGTTAGCACTAAGGTTTCAAACCCCAGTAGAATCTCTGCATCAAGCACAAAGAATGCGTGGATTAACAAAGCTCGGGGGGCTTGAACCTGTGTTGGTCTGCAGATTCATTAGAGCACAGTTGTTATTTCGGCTTCTATGTGGAGAAGGATTCAGAAAAGGTAAAAATAGCACGTAAAAATGCTACCGTCCAGCTGACTCCAATTTGCCTACAACTGATAGCAATAGTTGTAAAATGCGAACAGCTGGTTGAAGAGCAGGTATGTAGGGGGTGGGAAATAAAAGCAATCCCTACCACTGCCTGTGTTCATGGCTCAATCTCCAAGCCTATGAATATGTCATGAAGATGTTACCTCACTTGGCAAAACAGGTTTGCAAAGTTAAGGGTCTTGAGATAAATACTTTTTCTTCAATTATATGGGTGAGTCCAGTGGAACCACCCTTAAATAAGGGGTAGGGGAACAATGACAACAGTGTCAAGGAGCATAGTGACGAGAAGCCCGAATTTGAAGATGCAAGGGTCACAAGTCAAGGAATGTAGGAGGGTCTAGAAGCTGGATAAAGAAGGGCACAAGTTCTCCCCTGGAACATCCAGAACGAAGGTGTTATGGCTTGGATCTAGGTGTCCCCCAAAGCCCCATGCACTCACAGGTGGGACCTTTGGAAGGGGAATGGATTAGGAGGGTGGCATAACTGACTTGCTGGTAGAAGGTGGGGTCTGGTTGGAAGAGGCAGGTCACATGGGCATGGTCTGGAAGGATCTCTTCCCAGCTCCTCCTTTGACCCCTTGCTTCCTGTTTACCGTGAAGTGAGCAGCTGGCTTCTGTCAGGCCCCTCTGCCATGCTGTCTTACGTTGGAGTCAGCCAACTATGTACTAACATCTCTGCACACAAAGAGCCATAGTAAACCTCTCCTCTTTGGAATTGCTGGTGTCAGGTAATGTGTTTCAATGTCCAGGAAAGTGGCTAAGACAGAAAGCTGCCAATACCTTGACTTAGGACTCCTGACCATCAGAACCATAATAAGCTGGCGGCAAGTCACTAAACTTGTGATAACCTACCAGTTACAGCATCAAAGGGAAACTAATATAATCAAAATCACAAAAGATCAACCTTCATCTGCTACCTCATTATGAGTGGTTGTGGAACACTCCCCAGCTCTAATGTCTTAGAACTCAAGTAGACACTAGAGTAATAAATCTCATCTCTGAAATACTTCTGCATGTCTGTCCCATGGCTACCCTCCCAGGTAAGCACATCTCCTCTCTCAACATCTCCTCTTTCATCATGTAAGATTAGAATGCCCTCTATAGAGGTGTATTAAGCTGAACATGGTACGTTCTATTTCATATATATATATATATATATACTTTAAAATTAATTTAATATTTTAATTTTTTTTTAATTTTGCCAATGATTCTTTTGTTATTAGTATATGTAATTGCAACAATGAAATAACACAATGTAAAGAAGGAGGAACATCTTCTCTCTGTTTCTTTTTCTGGTGTGATCAATGCCGGGAGCTACGCAGACCCTGTGTGCCTTACTCTTTCCTCTTAATGAGGAGGTTCACCCATGTTCTCAAGCAGAATCACAGACCAGCACTTTGCAATATCTTCTTTTCTTTTTCTTTTTTTTTTTTGAAATTGTCCAAAACTTATTGTAAAGAAGAACATTAAGGCATATACATAAAAAATATTAGCCATAGAAGAACAAAATTAAATAGCATCTTATTCCACATTAGAAAGAAAAAAAAAAAAAGGACCAAGTGTGTAAGAAACTAGACTAATTACAGGACTGAAAGAAAAGATCTGTCCTCTTTGAATTTTATACTTAGCAAACATACCTTTGAAAACTAAGATTTTCTAGTTATACAAACTTGAAATATTTTAATACCTCCAGAAGTAGCACATAGGAAATAACAAAGAGCATAATTCAAAAGGCAAGAGAAGTTCCAATATGCTCCTAGATAAACAATAAAGAGCTCTCAATATGATAGTTATGCAGGACTATATAATATATTTTAGATGAACCCTTATTTAAAGGTCATTGAAGATTTCTATGAAACAATACCAATCTTATGTTGGGTTATACACGTATTTTTTTCATATATATGTGTGTGTATGTGTGTATAAAAGACAGGGAAGAAGTAATATAAAGTCAATAGAAAATGGAAATATACTTTTTAAAGT